TGTGTACCTCTGTCCTATTCGTGTTTCAACCGTGAAGTAGTTGTGTTTGCATGGCTGTGTTTCGGTTTGAAGGGTGGGATATGGCGTGAATTTACTGGGTACAGAGGAATAACACCTGAGTCCTCAGGAATGGCAACGCGTGGGGGTATCATGGGCGAAACAGTATACTCTGTTATTTCCATAGTACTGCTCATGTCTATAGGCGAGGTTTTCCCAAGAGACTATAGCATGAGGTTCTTCAAAATGGGGGTAAAGAGGTTTCTTCTGGGTTGGCAACGCGCACGTAATAGCTCTGGTATTGCAGGTGTTCATAGGCTACGGTCACCACTTTCCATCAGGTAGGCCGTCAACATGTTTGCCATTTTAAGTTGTATAAAAAAAAGTTAGCTTATCTCGTATTTTACATGTTTTAGTGTGATGGAAAGTATGATATCCATTCTAATACCTGTACAGCCGATATAGATTTATTATTATATATAAGATATAAAGGTTGCCTGGAAAAGATCGCTTTTACTGATAAGGCCGTCCATTGTTTTCTCAGTGTGATCATTTCTTGTAATTTTTTGTGTTTATAAGTTTATTGCTATAATTTTTTTTTATACCACTGAGGTGACAAACAAGCATACGGCCCACCTGATGGTAAGTGGTGACCGTAGCCTATGAACACCTGCAATACCAGAGGTATTACGCGCGCGTTGCCGACCCAGAAGAAACCTCTTTACCCCCATTTTGAAGAACCCCATGCTATAGTCTCTTGGGAAAACCTCGGCAGGGAGCTCATTCCACAACCTGAGTGTTTGTGGGAGGAACATCTCTGAAACCGCCCAGTACGCGACCATTGAGGCTGTAGGACATGAAGTCCCTGTCGATGGCGAGCCGTACGATGGTAGAAAGTGGCTGTGGGTATCATATTGAGCAATTCCTCTGAGCTCAATCAATAAAGAATATCTATCTATCTATCTATTTTAGCGGAATCATACCAATATTATAAATGTGGAAGTTTGTAAAGATGTTTGGATGTCTAAATATATAATATGTTAGTTAATCATGCATAAACGGCTAAACAGATTTAATTGAAATTTAATATACTGATAGATAACTAACCGTCCTAACTTAATACATAGAATACTTTATATACTGATGTATATAAAGTAAGTAAGCAAAGCCACGGTAAACAGCAAGTCTTTAATAAAACTCTAAGTAGTTTCTCCCTTGTAAAATTTTATCATTGATTAATTAATTGTAGTTAATTTATCGAAGTTGAAAGGACAATAAGAAATAGTGAAATAGGAATTATTAAATGTTTTTCATATGCTCGAGATTAACGAGAGAACCTGACTACTGATTGTGGGATGATTATTTTGAGAATAAGATAACGATTTTTAGGGTTCAATACCCAAAGGTTAAAACGTAAATTCGTTTCCGTTACTGATTCAAAATATATTTTTTTCAACCCATTGGATTTACTCACATGTTGACAAACAACTCTGTCTTTTTTAGAGTTCTGTACCTCTAAAATAAAAAACGGAACCCTTATATGATCACTTCGTTGTCCGTCCATCTGCTCGTTTGTACGTCCGTCAAGACCCTTTTTCCTAGGAACGCATGGAGGTATCAAGTGGAAATTAATATCATATATTCAAGTTTGCAATCTCTTGAAGCAGTGAAAAATTCAAGCTTCTAAGTCGACGCAATCAAAATATAAATTTGTAGTTATTTCATAAAAAACTTAATGATTTTGTACGGAACCTCGTTGCGCGAATCCGACTCTCACTTGACTTGGTTTTTTTTGTTAAGTATGCTTTTAAATTAGTATGTTGATACCTTGGCAGTAAGTTGAGTGCCATCATGCAGAACCCATTTAATAGAGTATAAATATATTTCTTTCAGCACTAAAGAAGTAGAATTATCAAATGTGTGACATGTAATATAAAAATCCAAGAGGGTTAACTGCTGAACCCTCGACGTTTGAGACCGATTCGTACATGACCAGTTTTTTATTTAATTGGCTACACTTTATCTGAAAGATATATGCGTATGTTGACCGACGGACGCCATATACCCTTCGATCTTGCATTAAACATGTCACGTCTTATTCGGGTGAGTTACTTGAAATTCCACTACTGACGCCGAGTTTTAAATGAACTCGGAATTAACCTTACAACATTGAGTATATCACACACTTAGTGTGTTACGTTTATTGAATATATAATTGTATTTCATGGAATATTCACCGATTTCGGTATCTCCATGATCTTGGATCGAGTGATTGGGGTTAGTTTTTATGTTATATGTAAGTAAAAATAACATATACACATATATACACTAGAGAAGAGATGGCCGACTTGACTAGACCCAAGATCTACTGTTTACCGGCGAAACCCTGTGCGATCTACCAATTACATACTAGAGATCTCAAATGACATAGTTCAGTACAATTAAGAGGGAAAACATAAAACTGAAAATTATTTTTAGTAACTACTTATTTATATTAGTGTGAGCATTATGTTTGAGCATCTTCCGCTAGAAGAACAAAATATTATATTTTTGCCTTGCCACGATCGACTGGACTAATAGTCGCGATCGACTATATTAGAAGAAGACCATGCTGTCGTCATCGTCGAATGCAAGAGAAACTCTGTTTTACTCGTGTTTCTATTGCCGAATAGCTATGCTATACCATACTATACCACATCAGCTGTTAATTGTCCACTGTTGCACATAGGCCTCCATCTATTGGAGGGGTTTGCCAGTAGTACGCTTGGCAGGCGGGTTGGTAACCGTAATTTGACGTTGGAGATGTTTTAGGAGAGACGCTGCTGCCCATCTCTTGACTATTAAGCTCTCTAAGTCACTTCTAACGACACCCACGGGATAGGAAGGGGTGGCCTATTTTATATCGGGACCACAGGGCAAACAGCTATTCTTGCTTATCTGTATTTCGGTTTCATTAGGCCGTGTTCATATCTATTTAAATAGAGATGGATAATTTTGAGCGTTTTATACAGGGGCCGGATGTCTTCGTTCATCTGTCATAATGACAGGTGTCGACTCGACACAATCCTTCAATTTAGGAATTAGATAGCATTGACATAAATCCACAACTCGATATCGATATACATTGGATATCATCGCTCGCGCAAATGTAATAACTACAAAATGCTTATCAATAGGATTCTTCATTATATGCATTTTTCTTTATTACTATTATGAAATTTAGGTAAGCTATTAGTCTAAGTTGAGAGATCAACTCAAGTCAAACGATTTGACTCGAACTTAAATATCGATAAATGTATCGAACACTATTACGTCAATCACTAAGCTTGATCCTAGAACAATTTTGACATTTAAATATGGAAATGTTTTAAAATTGTATTAAAAATAGAATATAGACAAAAATTTTAAATGCGATTCCTGTTATGAGATTCCTTATATTTTATAAGTTTTATATAGAAATAAGTGTAAAGCACAATTTCACAGGAAGAACAGGTATTTTAGAAATATTGCGGACATTCTTCGACGACCTTCATGGAATGGAGCTGGCATGTGTATGCGAAAAGGTCGATCATTTCGCCCTTACATATGCATCAAGCGTTACGTTACGCTATCTATGTATATTGGGCATGGGTAATATCAGTACTGCTTCGATATCTATATATTGGGTTCCTCTGGGCATTGATGGCGGAAAAAGATATGGATATTGTAAAAACAATATATAGAGTTCTCCATTCCTAATGCTTATGGCTATTATAAAAGCATAACAGCTTAAATCTTTAGGTAACGTCACAGTATATAATTACATTGTGATATCCATGCTGATGTAATTGACGGTCATATTTTCTATCAGTTGGGACCTTAGCTTTTCATCCAATCTTAATCTGAGCAAAACTGTTTGTTTACTTTTGACGTCTTAACTGACTGTTTTAAAATTTAGTTCACAAACATTTTCAGGAATGTAGCATAGGATTTACTTTTTTTTGGGCAATAAATGTATCAAGGTCACACGGACGAAGTCATAGGTCAAAATTAGTATCATGTAAATCTCGTAATCATTTACATATATTACGACACAACAAAATTAAATGTATTTTATTGTGAACATCGTGTCATTACCGGGCGTTTTAAAACAAAGGCGTTGATAATAGTCACTCGTGCAAGGTGCATGCGGGCACTTGACACCTGCACCTTATGATTATGTATTCGTAGTTCGAACGCAGCTTGAATTAACTTAGTTAAGTTGGCCACAGCTTTTTACTATTCCCTTCCGTCACTGTATAAATTGAATCTTCGTAAATCCCCGACTTTAATCTAGATTAAGATATGCTTAATTATAGCCAACTGCTTTCGTTAGCGCGAAGTCGTTTCCTTTCGTTTACAGTTTTTAAAGCACTTCAAAAGGAAGTTCTCAATGAGATATTTTTGTGGCTATGTTACGATTACTTCGCAGATTCTATATTGAATTTCAGAATTTTTGCAATCGATAGGGTTTATTTCCGTATTAATAATTATGATGGGGATTTATACTCTAAGGATATCTCGAAGAATTGAAATTGGAGGAGTGAAATATAAATGTTACTTCTCTGCCATAGGGTGTCTGGTGTAAAATCGTATTATTACTATTTAGATAAAAACTTATATGTTAATTCCGGATTATTATCTTTGTACCAAATTTCATTCAAATTGATTCATCTGTTTAATTATGATTAAGTAGGAAATATCCAAATATCTTAGACTAGTATAATAGATGGACGTTAGCTGATGCACATTATGGTACAAAATTTATTATTTAAGTAAATATAATGCATTATGAATATTAAATACTAGATGTGTAACAGAATTGAATATACTTGTACAAGTATAGATACAAGTTAACACATACAAAGGTCTAATTGAATTCATACAATACAGCGAGTGTTGTATTAATTAGACGCTATATATTGAACTTTCATAAATAAATATCCTAATAGATGTAACTATTACTGTAGTACTGTAGCAGCTACCTTCTTATTCAAATACCGTACGAAATCGTTGGTAATAGATGGTGCTCAATTTTGATATTCATCCCAAGTTATGAAGCGACTTCCTACAGGAAGAGGATCTCAAATTCTTAGATTTTTTTTGTAATCTATAGATTTTACTTATATGTTCATAGTGAAGCAAGAATCTGCATTTTGACACGATTAGACATTTTAAATTCAAAAAATTTCAAACTTACATATTTGAAAAACATCATCGATTCACGAAATTAAACGTTCCAAATTTAAATATCATATTTTTAAATTAATGTATTCAAGAAATAACGTCGATTATTAATTAAGATTCGACGTTCTAAATTCAAATATCATATTTTCAATATCAAATTAATGTACCCAAAAAACAATGTGTGCGTGTTTCGTCACAATTGAAAGGCTTTTTTTGCAGAGCAAAATATACTCATCAAATAAACGATCTGACAGTCAAGTAAACTTAATGTGTTACATTTGTAATTGTATTAAATAGGTTACGTATATTATTGTGCCTTAGAAACTATAGAATGACAGAATGATTGATTATGGATAGAGATTCTCTCGAGACGCTAGTGAGTAATTGATAGGTGATCTTTTATCTGTATTCTTCAAACTGTATGTGTGAATTTGTGAAGCTCATGAAATCTATACATTATGTTTATGAAGTGATTAATTATATATATGTATGGCCGCTGGTTATACCTACTTGCAAAACTGTTCTGCCTAAATGCATTTACTAATTGTTTAATACAAAAGGGCTATTTATTTATTAGGATATTACAGCAGCACGACGATAATTCAGCACGACGGTTTCCACGGAGACCACGTGGGGCTTGACCTGATAGGGTATATAGCTAGCAATGGTATCTGATAGCCCGTATTACTAACAATCCCTTTCCTCTCATAAAACAGCGTTATACCCAATTGATAGCAAAAAGAATTATCGAAATCTGTTCAAACGTTTGACGTTATCGCATAACATAGCCTTAAAAGTACACATGAATTATTGAGAAGAATTGTTATGCCCTTTTTAAGAAACTGCTTAAAAAGCATTTTGCTCTGATTGAAGAACAGACATTCAAACTTTAGTTTTTGTAATACGAATTCTATTTAATAATTCATTAGGTACATTCTTGACAAGCGATTACATTAAACGATTTTAATGTTGAGTAGATACTAGGCATATGTAAATATTGTAAGCAATCTCGAAATTGGGGCTTGAAAGGAACAAATATATCTCTGTTCAGACTTACATTAATTGTATATAAGTAAGTTTGCGCAATTTAATCTTGTATTAATGTCAAATACACTCGAAATATATGCTAATGGAGAATAACATAAATTGTATTCTAGAGTTAGAATAACTACATAAGAAATCCGAGCAACGTTTCCATTTGGCACTATTAGCATATTTAAATTATCCTCGTTATTGTTGTACTTAGTAATGATACTATTCCACGAGTTTATTTTTTAGTTCATTAATTAATAATAACAGTAGTAAAGTATATATTTGAAATAAATGTATGTTTTTATGTGCAATAAATATTTATTGAACATAGAAATATATATCTATGGGCAACAGTAATTACAAAGTTTAATATATAAGTATAAAATGTAACATTATGCCTAGCACATTAGTGTCTAAACTAGGCCTAGCCTATATCTCAGACACCAATGCCTTCAATTAGATATCTCCTAAGCTCTTAATCCTTTTATCGTTTCATTACAATCAACTTAGCCATCTTTCATACGACTTTTTCTATGCACGTGCATGAATACTGTAGCTTTCTATTAATGAAGCCAATTGGCACCCGTCCAATGCTAAACTTGATAACGAACATCGACAGCATCGAGACACGTTCTCGATTAATTACAATGTCTCTATTGCTTCTGTATGTTGTTTTAAAAAAAAAAATACAATCTCTACTGTTTAGATATCATAAAACAAATGTAAAGGCCTGCGTAGACAGTACATTTTGTCAAATTTTCCTTTTGTATAAGCATCCGTTCATTCAATACGTGTGCAAGCAGTTTTAAGAGATTTATAACCAAAAGAAAATAACTCCTACGATTGTCTCGTATTGGATTTAAAGCCTAGGGTAACGAGGCAAATATTATCAAAAATTTTGTTCGCAGACAAAATGTTTTATCAACGCAGGTCTTAAAATTAATTTGGATTTTCCATGAGGAGTGCGGCAACGTAAGGATTAGTAGGTTAATATACATAGGTATATGGTATTGACATCTGATATATGGGGAATTTTTATATTTATTGGGTGAAGGTAAGGCGATAATAAAGCAATGCTGTCAGATTTTTTTATTTAGACTGCGATAATTTGTGACCATTCTATCGTGTAACCAACTAGAAATGCTAGATAATGCACTGAATATAATAGTATTATATAAGTCAATATGATGAGAAATCTAATGCAAATAGAGAATAGTACAGTAAAAATAATTACCAACTTAATTTGTCCGAGAAGCTGCGTTTCGAAGAACTAAGCGGCATACCAAAAAATATGACAGCAATGCTAAAACTAAACATGGGAACTACCGCAAGATTGCAATCATACAGCCATACACGGACGATATTAAATTGTATCATGTTGCGCAAATTCCGCTTAAATTGAATTCCAATCTACCTGAGGTTACTTTATTTAATTACAATCTTATTACGATGGGTAAAAGTGGAGAATCGATCGCCTGTCCAGGTCCTCGGGTGTTTGACGTTATTCCGTATGGCGCAGCCATTGTGCCTCGATTCTCATGCGCGAACCATCCAGCCGATTCTTAAAACTTATTCTTTTGTGTGAATGTAGAAAGAATTTTAATGCTTCCGTTTGAACTTGGTATAAAATAGCACAATAGAAATGGCTTGTTACGTAATACCGCCACTTGATAGTCCGCAATCATTCTGCTACATTTACAATTCTGAACGTGTCACAGAGCAATTTTATAGCCACTGTCTATATAGGCCTACTGGGCATACGATATGCAAGTCAAGATCAATGAATATCTGATTGAAGCTCTGGGAATGACCGTGAATCAGTATAGGGTAGTTTAAAATGTACATCACATTCATTAATATAGCATGTATTAAATTGTTATTTTATACTCAGGTGCGATGAGGCCATTAAAAATTCGACTAGAGCAGTTTTATGTCTTTTTTTGCGATTTATCTGTGAGTATAATCCTACAGTATATCCAAAATTAAATTGTGGCATGGCAGTTAAATTTATAATGCTCAGTTAAAATATTGTAAAACTACGTAATTCCTCTTGAATATTTATTTCATCTAATTCTTTTCCTTTTTGTTTACTTTTATTTCTTGTTAAATATTTTTGTAATGAAGTGTTAAATTAAACAGTATATAAATATTTCTTTCTTTTCAATTGAAAGTAACATTGAAAATTTAATGTTCAATCAATTTATTATTAATATTGAATTTTGCACTAATTAAACTAAATTATTCCCAATCTGAGAAAGGCACTTGGAGTTAAAGGTACGTGTATTTTTATCAAAAATAAAAACATCTAAGGAATTGCACATTTTCGATAAATACTTGACTCCACTCACACCTTGTCTTACGATAACAGCTTGTTTTTAATTGGAGCTTAAAAGTAATTTATTTGATTTTTATATATTAATGATAATCTTGTAAACATTTACCGTTATTGAACATTGCACACTCAATGTTATATATTGCTATTTTACTAGTTACTACTTAGTTAGCTTTTACAACTTTATGTGACTGAGGAGTGATCATATCTATATAAAGCAGTACAGCCAAAGTATTTGTTTGATCGCGCTAATCTAGCTAAAAAGCTAGTAATTTAATAATATAACAGTGTGATTCCGGCATAAAATTGGCCACCACTTCCTTTCCCGTGGGTGTCGTAAAAAGCGATTAAGGAAACTTATTTGTCGAGAAATGGGCAGCAGTTTTAAAACTTCACCATAGCCTAACTACGGTTGCCAACCCGTCTGCCAGGCGTAGCAACTACTGCCAAAATACCCCCAAGGGGTAAGTCTATATTAAGCAATGAACGGTTAATGGCAGCAGCATTATAATCACGGAAATATGAATGTCAATTGTAAACCAGTTGATCAAGTAAATCTGCTAAAAACCCAGGATGTAATTATGTGTAGGTACATATTTTTTGTACCGTGGGAACGTACCTACACTACAGCTATCGCGAAATCCAGTTTACGAGTAATTTTTATGGACAATATGTACGTTGGCTGTATGTATTAGATGTTGGTGCCTTTGCTCCTGTTATTGTGATCATGCTGTGTATGTCACAATCACAATTTCAAATTTTGTAGTTTAGAAGTTACTAATAAAAAAAAATTAAGGTATTGATCCTTCACCCGTTTTAGACCTACCGTAACGTCTCTACTATCTATATTAATATTATAAATATGAAAGATTTGAGTTTTTGTATTTTTCCTTCTTTGTAATGATTTTTTCTCTGTTTGTAATGGTTAAACTCAAAAACTATTTAATCTATTTTAAAAATTCTTTTACCTATAAGCGAGTAACATAGACTAAATATTATATTTTATCTACTCGTGCAAAGTTGGGGTGGATAGTTAGTATTTGATAATTAGCAGAACATTATTACGTATAATGTAGACTTAATAATCTTCAGGTACCCACAACAATCCTATTGTGTTTGTATTTAATGCATTATTCTGTATTGTACACAAACATTTATTTTTAAAAGTAATGTACAAAAGCGAGCTTATCTCTAAGAGCTTAAGCTTATCGATAAGATAAGAGAAGATAAGGTCTAATAAGAGATTTCTTCCAGCAAACCTTTTCATGTGAATAAAATTGTTATTAAAAAATAAAAATGTGCAATCATATTATTTGTGTACATTGCAATAAAACACTTAAATACAACTATTATTTCAAGTAGAGGGCAGAAACAATACGACAACAATTGTTTTAATGTTTTAAAACAATAAAATTGAAAATTATTCATTATGCCTCTCCCAGTATGGTGTGAATAATATGTTGCAATGTATTTCTTTATTTTTTTATGAAATTTGTAAAGTCAAAAAGTTGCTAGTCTTCCGAATGAAAATAGTAACTATTGCCTGTGGATATAATAAGCACTATAGATGCCATTTACCGCACAATACAAACATTTGTATTCATGAGTATGTTTGTATTGTTCTCAGTGTTTTCTATGTATAATATGTATGTGTTGTATATATACAAGTATACGGAAAAATAAATACTAGGTTATGTTGAATCAATTATGTATTAGGATGTAACAACTTTGTAATGAATAAATAAATACATTTTGCCACCCTTTCATACAAAAGATAAATTTACAAAAAACAAAAACTTTCTATCAATAGTCTAATACCCATAGTGCAACTTCTGCTTAGAAGGCGCTTTGTCTAATGATATTTACTTTCATGTTATATACAATAATGTCACTTAATTTTTTGTATTCGTATTATACTTTCCCTTTATGCTTCTTTTATTCATACAACATAGTGCGTGTGACAGGAATCTAATTAAATTTATAGAGAAATAAAAAATATTAAATTGGAAATGGATTCAACAAAACATTTGGTTATGATAACTATAATGTTTAATGAATAAATTTAAATTTCGAAGTCTCACCGAAATATATTATAATTATTTTACGACGATACGTGATATCGTTTATATCATTAGCTGACATTAGCATCACACTACAACGCACATATACGGCCAAAAGTGTATCTTCAATACCATTACATGATCCAAGTAACCGTCCTTACACAATAAGCATCAGCTGTTCTTAATACTAAAGATAGGATATCATTCTTACCATGACATTTGTAGAATAACCCCCTATCATTAAGCCAGGTGCTCGAGGCACGTGCTACGACATCTGCTGGTGAAAAAAGAACGAAAAAAAATTATTATTAGTACCTACCTTATTGCGCTCTTCCGACACATCTGCTTCTATTTTAATATCCCGTCATCTGTCCTCTTAGATTCTATTCGATGTTTCCCTAAATAGAAATTCGAATTTATACTCATTCTTAAGAATATAAAGATTAAATTGCAATGATTTCGAATTTGTACATAGAACAAAGCATGTTACTAGATTATTCTTCAGATATAAAAGGTTAGATTGAAAGGTCGTTGGTTGCCTTTCAAATGTTAACTTCTGTTATTTCTAACGTATTGGTGCCCTTTGCAAAGCTTTTTTCAGTCTTAACTTTTATAGTCTCTGTAACTTTATATTTTTTTTATTATTATTTTATTATGAGCTTCTGATATCAAAACAGGCCTCTCATTCACCTATTTTTTACGCTGAATAGAATGGCAAACAAGTTGACGTCTGACCTGATAGAATGTGGTAACTGTAGTCAGTAAACGTTACTACCACCATCGACATCACAGAATACATTACGATGCTGTCTACATTGCCATTCTTCGTTTAAGAATCTAAAGGTTATGAAGTTATGCCTCCGTATGTTATTACTGTAAAAAATTTCAAACTTGAAATTATCTTTCTTCAAATAGACTTGTTTACAAGCACTTTTAAATCGTATTTTTTTTTAATCTACTGCAGGGTTCGGAAGGTTATCTGTTGAGAAGAGCCGGCAAGAAACACAACAGTTATTCTTTTAAAGCTTTGTTAACGCATATTATAAGTTTACATGTATTTATTTAACTGTACTATGTCTAAAGTTCATGATCAGTCAGGTACTTCAAATTAAAACAGACATACAAGTACAGCGGTTTAGTGGCAGACATACATACGAGTGGTACTGAGATATCCATGCATACAACTTTTGTATAAAATCTCCATATGGATTTGTAGTAATGGGAATTAACAGCCCCATTACTATCAATATACCCTGGTCCCTATCGTCGTTCCGATGAGCCAATTAACCCGACTTCACTGTTATATATATTTTCCTCCGCAATAAATTTATAATTAAAACATCTCTTCTTATTCCAGGACTGCCATGGTCTCGAGGTAGAAGGGAAACCAGTTGCTGATGAAGTACAGAATTATGAATTGATATCAGGTCACCAGAATCGTACGCATACCACTATTGAGTTTAGGAGATTACTAAACACAAAAGACAATCAGGACTTTGTCATCGGTGTAAGTACTTTTGTTTCAGTTACATTGCCAAAAAATATATATGAAAAAAAAATATGTATATGTAATATGATTACAGTAAATCTAAAAATAAATATCAAAGATATTGATTGACTTTCACGTCGCATAATCTTATTTGAACTCCATATAACCTTTATTTTCAATCACAATGGCACTTAATTTCTATAGATTACAAAATTGAAAATATATAGGTATTTTAACATTCAGATTGGACAGAATCTGTCCTAGAGGATACTCTTTATTACGGTATTCTGGCCCCGCATTCGGCCGTTAGCTATATAAAGAATAGACGACTAAAAAATAAAAAGTTAGAAGATTATAAAGGGTAGCCAAATAAATAAATAATTATATTTTACCTACCTGATCGAGATATTGAATATTTGAAAAGTTATGCTTACTTTATATTCCTAGGGTTGTGTATTTATTTGAAAGCATAGACATCCAGTACATACATACTTTTCTCGTACCAATTTTTTTTACAAGAAACATTTTTCGATATGAAGCTCACATATACATAATTTATATGCCGGTCCATTTTTATTACTTTAAAAGGATGTATTTAATTATGAAAATTTAGAGAAAATTCTTGAGAATTACATGTTTAAAACATATACAGGATAAATAAACCCCTTGGTATAACTAAACGGTATTTGCAGCCATTGACATATTTGAGATTATTTTCCAGGAAGGGCAAGGACTTTTAAAAATGGCGCACATGTACTTTTAGACGTGTGTATTAATCCATAACTGAAAGCTCTATTTCTGGTGCTAGGGTGTGCACCAGACAAATCAGGTGTGGGCACGAGACAAATCTGGGGTGGGCACTTAAATACGCCTATATTTGCAGATGAACAAATGGGAAGAATTTAAATAAATGTTTTATTGCAGGACGATACAACCCAAGTTCTGTATGCTCTCGGACCTCCAGGCTCGGATGGCCAACTGCCGAAACATGTGGACAGTGGCTCCAGGCCATTGCGGCTGCTGCAGCCATTTACAAGTCCTAATTCCGCACCACAAATGCATTGGGATGTGACGATTAATAACGTAAGTAGAAAAATATATAAAGTTCTAATAAGCAGTCGCATCAATATTGACTCAATTTTTTTTAAAAAACGAATGATCAAATGATGATGATGTATCCCGTGGTTTAACCCATGTGAATCAGTATATAAAGTAACCTATGTGCTAGGTTAGGATGTAACCTATCCATGTACTAAATTTTATTCAAATAGGTTCAGTGTTTTTTCGTGATAGAATAACAAACATCCATTCCTCCATCGTAACAAACTTTTGGATTTATTGTATTAAAAGGGCATTTTTCCTAATCCTGTTTTAATTTACGCTTAATACTGTGATGGAAATGATACTAATAATGACTAGCGGCCCCTTTTTTAACATATACTCGTGTTGATCTTGCGGTTTTCACGAGATGTTTAGATGTTCGCCACTCAATCAGTCTCAAAAGTCTGAAAGAATTGTGTTGAACTTGGCACATCATGAATCATATCATTAATACATACTTCATATTCTAATTTAGGAAGATTGTTTTTAATCCCTAAAGTAATCTTCAAAAAACTTGTCTTTTACGTAGCAATAGAGATAGAAAAGGACGTAAATAATAATAATAAACTCTTTATTGCGCACAGTAGAGATGTATACAAGGAGTATTTATACAGAATGTGCATATACAAAAGGCGGCCTTATCGCTGAAAGCAATCTCTTACAGACAACTTGGCATAAAGAATGGATAAGTAAATTACTTTTTGTCAGTCAAAAAACATATCCTAGTTTCGCTGAAAAATGGGCTCGGCTAATTTTACCTTTTCAATGGTGGTGTACTAAATAATAGAACAATGTAGACACAAATCTTTCGACAAGCACAAATTGTATGAGAAAACAACTGTATTACAAGCTTTAATAAGCCCCTTACACAGTCTATAGTAACGACAAACACTATTAAAAGGCAATTTAAAAATAATTAGGTTCTCTATATAAAAAGTGCTTAAATATTTGCGTGCTACTTGCGGTTATTTGAAAATAAAAATAAAGATTGTGTCCCACAAATCAACGGACTTCAATTGTGACAAAACCAGTTATTTTTGATTAAAAACTAAGCTATTGAACCGATGTTAATAAAATTTAAATGGGAACAAACTAAATCGGGAATTTTCTACATCGATTTAGAAATTGAATAGTTGCAACAAACATTCAAAAGTTGCAACCGATTCTATTTTGAAATTTTGTATACCCCTTTTAGACACCCTAGCAATAAAAGTAAAAATATTCCAAATTTCAAATCAAATCAAAAAATCATTAATACATGATTTCTTTACGCTTCAACATATATCATATATAGTTTCTGAAATATAGCGCTGTGACAGAAGGATGGATGGAGAAAGTCGAACTACAAAGGTTCCTTTGTACTTTTTTGATACAGGACCCTATTTTTACGTATTCATTTCATATTTCTCTTCTGTGCTTTCTTTCTGGAGTTGCGAATCTAAGGACATACAGGTCAAATCAAAATGTCTGTTTCAATAGATAAGATAACCATATTTTTTTGAAATTATCACAGAAAGATTCCCTAAATAAAATTACTAAGAATTCAAAACATTTAAATAATTTATCTATTGTTTTTTTTTTATTTGATCATTAGCAGCCTGCATTTAATGGTCGGGTTGGTTTGATTACATTTTTATTAGTTTGAACCAGACCATACGTGATATGTCAAGTAGGTTCAAAGTAACAAACTTGCAAAAACAATTCAAAGAAAAGATTTAAAAGAAAATCTTTAAGTTCTTATTCTTGTGTTGTTATTACAATTAATTATTCTGTGGTATTGTGTAGTGGCGCTTTATAAATTAATCCTTGCAGTTTTAATAGATTTAAATTGTAATCTTGTATCTTCACCGCAATTTGTAGCTTTTATATTAAAATCTCTGTACCTTTATATCGTACAACTAGACAATCTAATTTGTTTATGGCGGGGTCAAAAGTACTCAACACTACTTATATCTCGTAATAATTTTATGCGCATTGTTGCAGTGAAAAGTGCTACCAGCACTATACATAAATTAAAACTAAATACACAACTTATTTTTAAAATAAATTGTACTGGCTTTGTGACTATAATCAGCTAATTATCTTTTGAGTTTTTGTTTTATTTCTTATTTTAATAATTATTGCAAAATAAGTACATTATGTTTAGTTAAGTACAAGTAATCGATAATTTACAATCAATTTTACGTCTTTTTTATTTAATATGGTGTAATAACCAATAATTCGACTAACTTGTTATTCATGATTAAATAAGTATATGTATTTTCAAATATTACTAATAAATATTGACAATTAAAATGTAAAATGAAATAAAATATTAATTAAATAATAAAATATTGATAATAAAATAACGGAACTTATGGAACGTCTTCGAAAAGCGTATAATAAAATTATCTATTAGTCCTGATTTCACTGCGTCGATATTAACTTATTCTCGGAAATTCCTTTGAATTCTTTGTAATAACTTTAGGAATATCCCGGACTATCACGTTAATTAAAAAATATCGACACTTATATTATCCATCGAATTTTCGTTTAATTAGATTTAGCAGTTTCTGAGATTTTATTACTGACTATATAGTTGTTTTCTAAAAAGTGACGATTTAAAACAGCTTGTAAACTATTCTATTTGAATAAATATTATTTCTATTTTATTCTCCTCGCTGAATATTTAATATTTCGTTCACAGCTATCAATTCCACATGACATGGCAACGTTATTCTGGTGCAAAATCTTCAAAGTACCCGATCTACCAAAGAAACATCATATTGTTGGATACCTACCGCTTATAGATAGTAGACCGATTAGAAATGGGGTACCGGTCGTAGAGAAGAACAGTCTGTCTCCAGTACATCATATGGTATTGTACGAGTGTGCTGTGGATCCTGATGAGTATTCGTGGAACGAGTGGGCCGAATCTGTGGGGTATTTTGGACCGAACCGACCTAGCGAGTGGGCGATATGCGCCACGCCAATAGCAGCTTGGGCTATGGGATCCAAAGGTACTTATAAATTTTTTTATATTTTAATGTAAGAACTACCGTGTATTTTAGTGGAAAAAGCTAGAGTAGTTTAAGAATCATCCGAGACCATATAGTATAGTATAGTCATGAGCGACTGTAATGTGAGCACGAACCTGACTATAATATGTGTATTTACGAAACTTTTTACAATGTTAACTAATATTATAAACGTGAAACTGAATTCTTTTGTTACCTCTTAGTGCCTTAACGGCTTAACTAAACACTATGAAATTTAGTACTATTTTTATTTTATTTATTTAAACTCTATTGCACCATAAACAAAAATATACAATGACAAGTGAATAATCCAAGTGCAATACAGTAACATAAATACAGATTGAAATATACACATAAAGGTACAAAAGGCGGTCTTATCACTAGGGCAGTCTCTTACAGGCAACCTTATGTATGAAATGGAGAAGGATATAGGGCTATTTTTATTCCGGTCAATCAGACGATGCCGCGGATAAAAGCTAGTACAATAATAATCTTAATATATAAAAATCTCATATCACGATGCGAGATGATTACTTGGAGACCACTGAACCAATTTTAACAATATTTCGTATTTAAATTTGTATTGATTGTTTCAACTCAAGAGATAGGTTTTATACCGATAGGAATAAATGGACCGTGTAGGTGGCTGAAGGCAAAACAATGTTTGTCGAGTCAGTTTTTTTATGGGTGAAAATGGTATGGTAACCCCGCCTGCGCTAACGGGATACGCTAGCGGAGCACCAGTGAAGGGTGATAGATGAGAATGAAAACAGGCCAGTTAGCCTATCATCTCGACATTCCGTCGAGTCAGTTAGGGTAATTATAATTTATTGTTTTCCTTCTATATAATCAATTTGTAGCAAACTATGGTGTCTTCATAATTTTCTATTGTTTTGGATGAGTCTTTACAGAAATAGTCTGTTTATTTACCTTCGCGCCTGTCACCCTTCACTGGCCACGCCAGTGTATATCGATAGTGTAGGCGGCGTTACCATTTCATTATCATCTATAAAAAAATGCATTTTTTAATTATATCCCACAAGTATGCTGTATAACATTAAGTTCGCGTTTTGTACCAAACATTTTTTGTAACATCATTAATAAATAATAAATAAATAATTATTCGCAAACTGTTTGGTAATTATAATTATTTATTTACACATCGTAATTGTATGCACATTTGGAGTACTTATATCTGAACTATAATATACTCTTTTTAAAATTTATTTATTTTATTCATTTTCGTGTATGTGTTTTACCTAACATCACTTAAAAACAATTGTATCAATTTTCTAGTTTCGTTGCAAGTATATTTACTTGTACTGCTTGATATATTTTAACTGGCTGTTACCTAAATAGTACTTTAAACAGCGGACTTGTATGCAATATTAGCTATTTCCATTTAGTTCGAATGACTAGGGTAAAAATATATAATGGTCTTTTTCCATTCTTGTCCATTGCCAAATAACACGTGAATGAATGCCTTTCATAATTTTTGTTTAGCAGTTTAGACGCCAAGAAGTAGCAACAAAATTTCTCATAAAATTAATTTTCATTAATGGTACATTTTGTATTAACCTTCGAGTGTACTAACCTTCGAGTGTACTAAGATGAACTGTACTTTAGGATTTTAAAGTCGAAAAAACAACTGAAAATCGCTTCCAATTTGATGCAGTGATGCCAGAACACATACAAACCAAAAGTCTAAGAGTTATTTAGTTCCAATTTAATGCAGTAATGTTAGAATACACATACAAACCAAAATTCGAAAAAATATTATTTTTGGTGTTTATTATCCTTATTAAGTCTCTTCATATTTTTTTTTTTAATTATGTCTTATGTACAGATATTGTTTACGTACAATTTTATTATGTCTATGTGGATTATAACGTAAACAACGTCTCGTCCGTTTCTATAAAGGGCATTAAACTTTGTCTTAACCTATAAAAATGTACTTTTATTTTTCTTATTATTGTCACATACTCGTATAAACATAATGTTGTGTACGTGTTATGTTTTGAGATCGTAATGGACCCAGCTTAGTTACTAATGTCCTTTATTTAAACACATACGTTTTGGGTAAAAAAATAACAGTACCATACTCTTTAATTGTTTAAATCATTGTAAACAAATATCTTTATTCATAAAAATGTGAAATATCTAATCAAGATCAAGAGAGAGAGAGAGAGAGAGAGAGAGATTACCATATAAAGTACGAGATGTGAATAAATTTATTTCTGTGTAATGAAATTAGTATTATTATTTTATGTTATAGACAAGGGTTATGCTAATATCGTTATTGATCTGTTTCATACAAAGCGGTTTCTGCTGAAAATATCAGTATTAATATGTATTGTAGATATCAGTATTAATAGTATAAGTATTGTAGGTAATGACTGACAACTGACACAGAAATTTGTAAATTAATTTTGCTTATATCTACCAAAAATCGATAACATCAAAAGGTTATGGACCCAGCATCCTTCAGCTGCGTGACTGAAATTATTTTTCGACTGATATACATGTAGTTAGATAATTAACACGATAATTCCAGGTGAATTCCTACCTCACAACGTCGGCATCCCTCTAGGCGAGAAAGGGGGCATTTCGTTCTACATGCTTGAGATTCACTACGACAACCAAGCCCTTCATGAAGGTAAGTTTATTATGCCTTCGTATATCTTCGTAACGTGTCTTGTAAGTTTTGGGTTTGTTCATTGTGTAGTCTCGTATAACTAGATCTGAACACGTGTTATATTTTGTTTACTTACTTACTTACTTAATGTGATAAGAGAATAAACGAAAAACTTTATTTAAATATTCGTCATTAACAAAGTTAAACATTAAACATTAATTCCTCTACCATTGTTTAATTACTAGCATTCGAAAATTGACCACCACTATTACTACTATAGTTTCACTACCTTCCATATTAGCTATCAATCTCCGACTGCCATTACGTCCACGCACATTTTGCAACACATGTAACACTTATTCAGTAAAATATTGAAAAATTTTTTTTGCTCTCTACCCCCTGTATACTTTTCTTAGCACTTTTACCATCTTGAGCTTTCCTCGACACGAAAACACTCGTCCCGAAATGTTGAAGTCCTTCGGGACGTGCTAAAGGTGTCAGATTATTGGTTGTTGCTGAGTTCCAATTTGAGCGACATCAAAATTTTTGTAAAAAAATTCGACAAAAAATAAAAACACTTTAGGGATGTAAAATATCGTTATCAAACCATATTTATTCGAGTGAGCATAGAAAATGTACACCTAGCCACGATGAATTCAAATATATTCGGTGAAATGTAGATATCTAATATATTATGTTCCCCACAATAGTAATTTTATTATAATAATTTATTTATTTTTGTTACAGTGCTCGACAGTTCTGGCATCCGTATACTACACACACCAACACTAAGACAGCATGAGGCTGCGCTGTTGGGGGCGGGAGTTGGGGTATCAGCATTGCACCTCATACCACCCAAACAAAGGCAATACAGAACAGTGGGCATCTGCAGTTCTGAATGTACTAATAGCGTAAGTGTTTTACACCAATTTCCCCACATAAAGTTAGCAATAATTTAAAACTAGTTATTTTTATTTAAAAACTAAACTATTGAACAGATTATGATAAAAATTTTATGGCAGTAATCTGAAAGATAAAAAGGTCTAAATTGACGGAGTTATGAAGTAACAATGCGCATGTCTTCACGAAGTACTTTTACATTAGGTAAATATGTCCTTCTATCATGTTTGTTTCAGTGAAATTGGTTCACTGATTTATATTTGTAAAACACTGTGTCTTGGCAATTATGGATCCCCGCGGTTCGTCTAGTACAGGGTCCAATGTACTCATGTTGTATATAATACATGAGTTACGAATATAGATAAACTAAATACTTAATATATAATAAACATATTAAATTAATATATACATGCATGAAATACCAATTGTAAACAAACGTATAATTCATTCAACTATGCGCCGGTCTGCTAATATCTAATAGTAAGACAGATCAAAAATCGAACATTTGACTGAATGTTTTGAGTCGTTACTAGTTTCATTTACTGATTATTTGTATGATAATTTCAATAAAATTTGGTTACATTTTCATTTCGTTTTGTTAACACAGGCTATAAATTATAATTCAATTCGTTTACAGTAGATTTTTATATATAAACATAAACTATATGGAATTTCAGCATATTATTTCTTTTTCCAGACTTTGCCAGACACCGGAATAAATATTGTGTCAGTACTATTGCACGCCCATGGAACCGCTCGAAAAATCTCTCTCAAACACGTGAGAGGGCAGCAAGAATTATCTGTAATATCTGAGGTAAAGTGCAAATTCAATCAACTAATAAATACATTTATGTATTATTTTTTTATGCAACCTGGAATGGCAAAAATACTCATGGTGGAAAGTTGGAACATGTTTATGTACTGTGCTATCAAATTGAAATTGGTACTGAGAGACATCTATACAATAAACCATAAATAAATAATAATGATATGTAAAAGTAGAAGAAAATTCTGTTTGTCGAACGGTGTACAGATACGAACCCTATTGTATTTTTAAGAGATTTTTGTTCATAAAATCTACGCTAGATGGCAGATATGTTGGGCATGGAAAATATAATTGCCACTAATGTAATTTTAGTTTATCTTATTACTAATAGATGGCGTTAACATTTTTTTATTCATATTTTTATTTGCATTACAGGAAAACTCATATGATGCTCGTTATCAACAATCTCGAGTTGTTCCTGGCGGAAGACAATTTTTGAAAGGGGATATTATGATTACGGAATGCACTTACGACACTACAGCACGGGATAAGCCTATTTTAGGGGGTTACTCTACGTCACAGGTTAGTAAAGAAATGAAACAATTGAGAAGAAAATTATATATATAATAAATAAAATAGCAATAAAAAACTAAATCCAGTGCATGAGTTTGGATTCTTCTGAAGATCTGTATCTTTAATGTTGTTTAGGGTTCCGTCTCCACAAGTCTTACAGACCCCATATTATCTATCTCATAATTCTAATCCTCACATATTTTGGGTAATATATATAAATCCTATTTATTTAGTATCAGTTTTCCTTTTTCCAACAAAATTATAAATCGTTCACAACATTTTAATTCTATTATAAAGTATTAATTTTACATTTAAAAATGATATGTTTTAGCATTCATTTTTAAGATGTAAAAATTTCACAAAATATTCGGAGTCAAATCACGTTTGGTGGACTAAATATATCTATTTAAAAACTTTTTTAAACAGGATTATTTAGTCATATGAATTTTTCTAATAATAATACCAAATTTCTTTAAAAATGTATATCTCTATTTACAGGAGATGTGTTTATCCTTCGTTCTGTATTACCCACGAACGGAGCTAGCTGGTTGCTACTCGATGACTCCAGTCGACGAATTTTTCGAAACATTTGGTGTCAAGGAGTTCTATTTCATGAGCATGATTAAAATACAAAATTTATTCTTGTCGTCTGGGTGAGTAATTGTCAGTTAATTTTAAAATTAACCGTTCTACTATGGAGCAGCTATGCTTCCATAGGAGGGATAGATAGATAGATACTCTTTATTGTTTCCTCCAAAAGATTACAATGGTAAACTTATAAATATAAACAATGACAAGAAATAATCACAATGAGAAAACAATGGGCGACCTTATCGCTAAAAGCGATCTCTTCCAGGCAACTTTTGGATGGAGAGGAGTAATTGTAAACAATTTGATCGGAAACACAATGAAATTCTATTATTTCTTAATATAGAGATATGATATATGTAATAATGTAAAATAGTATATATAATATATATAGCATTATATACATTATATATATATATATATATATATATATATATATATATATATATATATATATATATATATATATATATATATATATATATATATATATATATATATATATATATAAGGGAGGCGGGGGGATTACTACATGTCACAGATTACTCTGTATTATTCAGTGGGTATGTAGATTAAATAAATTAAAAACAAAAAATGAACTTTAAACTTTTTTATCTGTACAACAATTGTTATGTATTTGAAGATTCCATGATTTTTTTAATCAGCACGGATGCCATCTATGAACTAGAGATATAACACTCGTCCCGAAATGCTGAAATCCTTCGGGAAATGCCAAAGGTGTTAGATTACTGGTTGTTGCTGAGTTTCAATTCATTAATAATAATAATAAATCCATTAATAATAATCCATAATTTCTAAATGAATTAATAACTTTTTGTTTACAGAAATTTAGAAAATATAACTTCTCCATGGGAGTTCGATATGAAGAGTAGAAACTACGTAGAAGAGACTGGTTTGCAGGGAGACGACCAGGGCGTGAGATTATTAAGTTAGTTACTTTTATATACTTTTTTTGTATTTTATACTTATATCCTTTTTGTTTTTAATAAATCACAATAAATTCGAAAATATGCTTGTGCTGACGGTATACGTTGTCGCGGTACCATTAGGAGATAATAGCTGAGAGTCAGATTAGTCGGCCCATCGTGATGAATGCATCAAGAATGAACCAATTTCGAGAAACGATCAAACTAAAATATAAGGTAGAGGTAAGAGATAGGTTTAGAGAAATAAAACACCTCAGTATTGGCCCTGTCGATTATATAACATTATTAAATTTTATCCCCGTCTTCATCTATGTGATTGCGATATATCATTAATCGAAATAAGTATTCTTCTGCATATAGTATTTCAAATTTCATGAAGATTAATTAAGCCTTTAAGGCGCCAAAGACATCAAATAAACTCACTTTAATATTTACAAAATTACTAAAATTCGTAAAACATTAAAAAAAAATTACTGTTAAGAAAAAAAAATATTTTACTGGTTATTTGATTAGAATTGTTTCGTTTACTTCCGCTACTATTAGTATGCGTGTGACTGCTAACACTCGAAGACACGTATTTCAGAGGTGAATCACGTGTCGTAAAACGTGCGTGAACAAAATGGCAGTCGGAGATTGATGGCTAACATGGAAGGTTGTGAAATTTCAAAGTTAGTAATTGTGATGAATAAAATAATTGTAATCAAATTACCAGTGATATGGGTTTCCGTAAAATAACACGTATTTCAGTAAAATAATAGTTATTTATCTCTTACAGAATCCCTAGTTATAAAGAACCCTGCGGAATTTCGCAACAAATCGTTCATGGCACATCTGAATGAAATGCAATGGTCTGAACCTTTACTGACCGAGCCAATAGAACAGCGGCTGTACCGAGGTTTGCATATGATGTTCTGCAAGAAACAAGATGATAGTTGGGGAATTGTAAGTATATTTTTTATACTATGTGGAATAACAAACCAACTAACGGTCTACCTGATTAAGAGCGGAAACCGTCGTTTATAGATATATGAATAGCACTAAGGTATATTCGTTGTGATTCTTAGGAAATGAAATGTAATATCTCCGTACCCTGTAATTTCACTGCCACATCATATCCTTCAAATAGAAATAAAGTCACACAAATAACTTTTTTTGTGGCAGAACCACTAATGATAGTCTTTGGCCATCCTCACATTATCACTGTTGTTGTCTATATTTGTTTAACCCTTAAAAGCCTGATTTGTTTTTAATCAAATTAAAAAATATATAAGTGTACCCTTTACTGTGTTTACTAATGGGGAAAAATAGTAAAAAAAAAAAACAAAATGCTATTTTTATATATTTATTTTGAGATCTAACACTTAGTATCATTTTTGATACTTTAGGCATTACGGTAATCAAAATATTTAAATTTATTTAACAATAAAACAGTGCAAACCCCGGTATCAAATTTGAAACTTCAGGTATTTAAGGGTTAAATGCAGTACCTTGAGTATAGTATGGAGGGACAATTACTGGTAATTTCAGAGATATATCTCACCCTTTATCAGAATACATATCTTTTTTCCACACATTGAGTTTTGTGAGATTTTGAAACATTGAAAGACTAACACTATGGGAGTATTTAAAAAAAGGGGATTGACAATGCACACACATTCTCTCTGGTAGAATACGGTGATCAATACCATCAGGTGGGCCGTATATTTGTTGCCATCTAAGTGGTATAAAAGAGTTGTTTTACCCCCATATTTATAAAAACTAAAACATTCTACAAACCTATTTTAACTATTAAAATGTTTTGCCACTGTCATTCAAATTAAGAAATTAGCGCAACAAAAAAAAAAAAAAAAAATAAGCACTTCAACTATTGAAGCTAACTATTTAGAATAGGTTTATAAGAGGTATGATGTTTCTATAAATAAGGGAATTAAGTTTAAGTCACTGTCATCAATCAACCAATGCTTTCTACAATTTCAGCCTATTCAAATTCAAGCTTACCCAACCTACAACGCGTTGCCAAGCAACGATGTATCAGAGAAGCATTACAAACGAGTCAGGCTGCCGTCGGTGACGACGGCGTCAGGATCACATAGAAGCCATATTTGGCCGGCCGTCTTGGCTATATGCCTTACTGTAATAGTTGCACGGTAATAAAAAAAGTGTCCTAAAGTACATTCGCAACCAATGATGTTATGTTGTTTTATTTTCGTTTTGAATTTTTATACAAAAAAGAAACTCCTGTTAAAACTCTGGATACCTACTCGGTTTTCTTAGTATTATTTTGCCAAATTATACTGTATGTCAATCTGTCATAATATATTTTTGTGTGTACACACTTTATATGGCAACTTGTGAGAGATGTGATTAATGTATAATGAACCTAACCATAGGTTTGAAAAAGGTTCATAATCGTATTCTTTATGGTTTGTACGAAACTGAGTGAATATTTTGTGATCTTTGTACTTATGAGCTTTTGCTCATGATACGCAACTACTAGCGAGGTCGTATTTAGCAACGATACCAAATTTGTGGTATTCAATACTATTAAATGTTATATGGATATAATTTGCTCCACAATAATTAATTTTAAGTATCTAATCAAATTTTATCAAATAAATTCTAAATAGATTTGTTTTTCTGTTTTATATATTCCAATTTTGTTTTTGTCTATTCAGTCTTTTTTTTTCAATATTATTACAATTAAATGAGTCTATTCTACAATTTAATTTTTTAAATAAGCAACTGGTGGTTTTTAGTGTTTTTTTTTTCTATTATTTTTAAAGCTGATGTTTACTTTTGTATTTATATATAATCGATTAATGAGAATTCAATGAAAGGAGATGATACTTACCCTAAAAAAGAATTCCGGATGAAATCAAATTCGAAACAGTTATCAGAAAAGACAATTTCATAAATTCCCGTTAATAAATTATATATACATTCTATTCTGTCTTATCATCAACTGATCCATAATTATGAATAAAAATAAATTACTACGATAGGCTCAATTTACGTATAAGATAAATGCCTTAACGACTGTACAATGTTCCAATGCAATAAAATTAATTATTAAGTCGCATTAAAATGTTAATAGGATATTTCTTAATTTATTTATTACAATTGTACAATTTATTGTCAATCTTTATATTTCCCGTTTTATTCATAAAAACTATTACAAAACATTTTACAAATACAGTTTGTTATTAGTTTTGAAATAAGAATATAGCCCAAAAAAAAAAAAAGAAATCAATAGCTTAGAGGTACGAGACATTTAACGTTTTTATGAATAAGGGGTTTAGTTGTCATACTTTTATATTTCCAAACTTTAAATACATGTATTTTTATATTCCACAAAAAAAAAAACAGACTGGAAGTTTTTATTATTATTATTACTAAGGTTATATTAGTACAAGAGCTCTGATCAAGTTACAACATACTTATCTATTATTAATCTTATATAGAACTCAATATCATGTTTTATTGTAGGTACCATTATGTACCTAGGTATCGAATTATATCAAAAATAGTGAAAATATAGGTGTATAGTCAATCATGTCAAATTTAATGAAGAATTGACAGATACTGCTACATATTGTTTATTTTTTCTAATGTTTATTTTTTACTAAGAACCGATGATATAATTTCCCATGTCTATTATATCAATGCGATATTTGATTTAAATATCTATTCATTGGATTATATTCTTTTATATTATTATTATTCTCATGTCCAATCAGAACCGGTTCAGCATAAGTTCTGAACACCTGGACAAAACAAATCTTATAAATTTATTATAATGTCAATTCATAATACACCGCTTGTTAAAGATGAACAAAAAAAAAATGCAAGCATTACTCTATATTATCTTAAATCTAAGCTCAAATAAAAATCTCCAATATACTTTTTGAAATATATTGTCAGAAGGAAAAGGTTCGTGTATAAATTAGTGCAACTCTGAACTTGTCATAACTCTAAGAACATATCGTATAATATTTCACGGCTGTGTTTTATTGTATCTACTATTATATTGTTTCTAGAATCAACATTTATACAGAATTAATTCGAAATGAATAGCAACCTTATATGATTTTTTTTCTGTCTCAAATTAAACTTATAGAAACGCAAATTTAAAAATGACAAAACATATTAAAAATCTTAAAAAAAAATGGAAAAATATATTTTTTAATCAGTTTTTAACTCATGTTATTTGAGAAAAGCGTTCAGATTCATTGATAGATAACTCAAGAGGGCGCTAAAGTTTCAATATAACCCAGTAATAAACGTAATAATAATGTTATTTTTTTTTATTTGCATTAAATTGAATAGCTATATCAAATGTAGGTGGCCTTATGTATTATGGTTGCCTTAGTATACCATCCTTACCGTGTAATGTTATAATTTTCTATGCCCTTACCTCATAACACTTTTATATAAATAATTTCCCCTATACACGCACGTCGGCGGTGACTCTTGCCTGCTTCCTCGAATTGTATGACCTATCTGATTATGATAAATCATTTTAATTCTACCGGAACCGGAGCCCCGAAATAATAACAGATTTTAAATATAAATCTGTCTTTTTCATATTAATTGTTGTATTTTAGGAACATTATATAGTAGATATCAATTCCGTAACGAACTTTGTATTTCGAGTCATAATGTTAGTAACTGCATTTCAATTTTTATTTTATAGGTGTTGTTCTAAGGTTTAGTTAATAAGTATACGCTTAGTAATTCATTTTTTATTTATTTAAAAAGTCAATATAATGTGTTTTATTACTTTCATATATTTGTTTTACTTATCCTTATTGATTACAAATATGAGTAATAAATAATTTATTCTACAAAGCAAGTGGCATCCTCTTCACGAATCATCGATGTTAGTCCATTGTTAAATAAATTACAGAATTCATCATCGTATGATTATTTATTAAAATATAAAAAACATAGTAATTTATGCATTCACATTCGAATAACCTGTTGAAATTTGCGGATTAGCATTTCGTATTTGAGAAGCGGACCCCACAGAAGAAGAATCTTGTTTAAAATTATCATTTAAAATTTGCGTATGATTAGACGAATTTTGACTACTGAATCCAGTGTTGAAGTTTGGTCTTATTGGAATTTGTGGGTTATATGTTCCATTATTTTGTGAGATGGATGCTGTATTAAGCAAGGAGTTTGATTCACCGTTTCTCGAACTTAATCCTATACTGCTTTGGGAGCTGGACCCAGTATTTGACAGATTTTGAGAATTGGACCCTGATGAATTATTTGAAGAAATCGGTTGATTACTTAACGGAATAGGATCTATAAAAACGTTTGGTTTTTGAGGATAAGTCTGGGGATTTTTTCTATTCGCTTCAAGTGCTTGCCAATTGATGAACCAGAAGGGTTGTTTGTCAATTGGCAGTTTGCTAAGGCGATCTATAAGGTCCCTATCTCCATTAGCTTCTATGGGTAGCCTTTGTGTAGTACCTTCGCCGAATCTGAAAAAAATATGTTACGTAAATATTAAGCAATAAAATATGTGAACAGCTGTAATTAGTAATAAGGGAGCCAGAGGTATTTGTCGATATTTACCCTGAAGAAAACGTAATATGATATGCAAAATGCATTAACAATTTTATTTGGAAGTGCAATATTACTATCTTTATCCTTACCAATGTTACAAATGCGAAAATATGTTTTTTACCTCTTAGCACCCTAATGACTGAACCAATCACTATAAAATTTGGTAAACACGTACCTATTATAAGGGATGAAGGAGAGCATTTACCCTAGTTAATAAACATATACCCATCACGAGGATCAGGTCGCGGACCGAAGTATATCCATTGATAAAAGCGATTAAAGCTACAATAATATAAAAATAGAAGCCTGGAAGAGACCATTTCTTGTAATTTTTGTTTTATATTGTACGTTTTGAAAAAAAAAACAAAGAATATCTATTTATTCGGTGCATTCTATATATTATGTTAGTAACAAAAATACTCGTGATATGTGGTATCTAATGCAGTATACAAAAGAAACTTCAGTGTATAAAAGAGGATATATTTGATTGTATGTAATGGATAAACTAAAAAACTGCTTGACCGATTCTAAAAATTCTTATACCTATAGAAAGCTACATTATCAGCGAATTACTTATGTCTTCATCATCATTATCATTTCAGCCATTATTCGTCCACTGCTGGACATAAGCCTCCCCCATAGACTGCCATAAAGAACGGCCCTGAGCCACCTGCAATTACTGATTCCCTGCAACACATTTCAGGTTGTCAGTCCAACTAGTGGGGAGTCATCCTACACTGCATTTACCCGTACGTGGCCGCCACTCAAGAACCTTTCTTCCCCTTATGTTTTTAATTATTAAAAAAAAAGTTCCCTACGAAAATTGCTATAATGTATCTTTCTATCCAGCTGTGCGAAGCTGATGCGGGTAGCTAGTGTTTAATAAAGATATTTACCATGTATTCAGGCATGTTTGATATTTTTGAATGAATTATATTGTTATACTTAAATTTAATTAAAAAATATAGTACTTAAAATAACGTAATGTAAAGTACGTAAATAACTTGTAAATTATGAACTCTTACAAACTTAGTATTAATAAGTTATTTTGAGGATATTACCTACATCTTTAGAAAGTGCTTACTACTATCATAACGGGATTGAATTCGTGTCGGCTATATTTTTGCTTCGAAATGGATATATTTTTATTGAGTTTATTGCCACAAGAAACCGTTTTATTTACTTATGGCAATAAAATAGATCGTATAAATATCAGCTTACTATTTACTGTTAAGAATACATATCTTAGTTAAACTTAATAATTTCTCTTTAAATTTTTTTATTGCAAAGTTTTTTTTTTATTTTTATACAACTTAGAATGGCATACAAGCTGACGGCCCACCTGATGGAAAGTGGTAACCGTCGCCTACAGACATTAACAGTACCATGGACATAACAGTGTATACTGTTTCGCCCATGATACCCCCCATGCGTTGCCATTCCTGAGAACTCGGGTGTTATTCCTCTGTACCCTGTAAATTCACTGCCACATTCCTACCCTTCAAACCGAAACACAGCCATGCAAACACAACTGCTTCACGGTTGAAACACGAATGGTTACAATATATATTGTATTGTATTGTAAATTACATTAAATAATTTAGTATGCAATGGCGGACTTATTGCATATATGTTACTGTAAAAACTCGTACATTGGTAAGTCTTAAGTTTTACCAGTAAACCTTAGAATTTACCAATGTGAGGATTTTATAAAAACACACACTTTTATGTCAAATCTCTGATGACGTTACCAATTGCAAATACATATGTAAGTATATTTTTGTAGTTTTCAAATGAATGCAGTAAAGACTCGGCTCTAATTGAATATTTATAAGAAATTGCTGTTATCTGGATATTTCATAAGATATCTAATAAACGGAAATTGGGGGAAGGAGAAGGGATTACTTAGTCGACATAATATATAGATAAGTAGTAGATAAATTGTTCTTATGATTATGCACTTACCGATCTTCTAGACCATCTGGCGTGGTGGTTGTTCTGTTATAAAGTTCCGGGTAACCGATGGGTCTGCTACCCGCAAATTGGGGTCTTTGACCCATCACCATTGTCGCTGATATGATTGTCATAAACAGTAGTAGGGTCATTGTCTGCAAGTTTGAATAGTTGGATATCTAAAGGGTTTGAAATCATTTGTATCCCTTTTCAAGTCATTATCTGAATATATGAATAACTTTCTATCTATACAGTGTGAAATCAAAGCATTCATTTAGTACTAACTGTATCCTCCGTAACGTAAGTCCGCGTATAAATATAGTTTTTTTTTTTCATAGGTGATAATGAAATAGTAACCCCACCCGCGCTATCGGTATACACCGGCGGGGTACCAGTGAAGGATGATAGATGAGGATGAAGAAGGTCAGTTAGCCCATCGTGACGAATTCAACGAGAATTGTTCACGATGGTTTCCAGGGGGAACCACGTGGAGGTTGACCTGATAGGACATATTGCTAGCAATGGGGCTGTCAGACTCCATTGCTAGCAATCCCTTCCCCCCTCCGTATAAATATAGTACCTAATTTCATTTAAACTTGTTCACTAGTTTTTGCGTGAAAGAGTAACAAACAACCATCATCACAAGTTTTCACGCAAATAGTAGTACAATCCTTACATCCTTACTGATATTATAAATGTGAAATTGAGTTTGTTTGTTTGTAATCTTATAGAGCATTGATAGCTTAACCAATCACTATGAAATTGGGTATACACGTACTATATGATATGAAGGATATAAATTATTTATTTATATCCCGCTTAGTAACCATATCTCAGCACGAGAACGAAGTCGCGGATAAAAGCTAGTTATTTTATAAGTGTTCTACCTGCCAGCGGAATAATATTTTTCTAAATAAAACCTCGGACGAAAAACGGCAAAAATATTTTCTTTCGCACTACCTAATATGACGCGTCCATCTGCTAGATTATTGTAGAAAAAATAAATACTCACAGGTACCCATTTATTATAAACTTAATCATTTTAAAGTAGGTAAGTAGTTGTTGTTGTTCATTGAATAAGTTAAGCAATTATATGTCGATATATATTACGTACGACTCCTAACTTGAACAATACATAGAATTGGACGATATATTATGTGCAAAATTAAGATCTAAAGTTGATAGATAAATATGAATGTAATATAATAATTATGCATATTATTCAAGTATCACATTCAATATAGTTAAAATAACACTAGGTAGGTTGAATTATCCAAACACTAACTCTATGATAAAATTTATAGTTAGTTTTTATTATATATTATATAGTTAAGTTCTTTAATATATAGTTTAAAATAATAATAAAAAGAAAAAAACTAGATTTATTGTTTAAGAAGGACATAACTGTAACACAGGGATTCTCTAGCACAAATGTTACTGTCCATCGTATCTTATAACAGAACTAATCTCGAATACAGTAAAAATGTTATACTGCCTAACAGTAAAGTGAATATTATACACATAATATTGTGTGTATAAAATTAGTATATATGAGATGGAACTGTCATCGTCACTTTTAGTATATAAAAATAAAAAAAGATAACACTAGGTATAATAAAGGTGATATTGGTACATTATTAATATTGTTGGTATATGATCTATTAATATGACTGTGTGGTCACAAGCGATAGTTACAAATTTAGATTTTATGATTGTCCTCAATGACCTATTTTGATGTAGGTACCTATCTGTGCAGTATCTACAAAATACAGATTACTTATATATATATATATATATAATCTAATATAATGATTTAAATCTCCATCTATGTTTATGTAGTACCAATTTTTACCCACAATTTCTTAGGAATTTAAATCTCCATCTACATATGTTTATGTAGTATGAGTTTTTACCCACAACTTCTTTAGAAAAATTCATGCCTATTGATTGAGCCTTTATAAATAAAGTTCTAAGTGGTAACAAACGAATAAACTCACTTTCACATTTATAATGTTCATAAGAATGTAACGAGGATCTACAAAGGATGTAAGTGCTAAGATATTGCAAAGATTTACCTATTTTGTGTTTACTGCTAGCTACATTACACAAATATAAATAAAAGAGAATCGCAAGTGATCTCGTAATTTTTTATGATCTTCGCATTAGGCTTGTTTATTTAATCACGAAGATCGAACAATTTATGTCCAAATACAGTCAAATTATTAATCTAAACATAATAAAATAAGGCAATGTAAAAGTAAACTTGCCAATACTATTTGTAAATAAACTTACCGCTATAAATCTGCGTACACACCTCCGTCTTAAGCGATATCGAGTCGACTGGTCATCGAGCAAAATGACAAAAACGAATGAGGAAAACTTGACGGTCGGGATGTACCGGTTTATGACGTCACTGTTTTTAATTTCTGAGACATAAAGCCCACTGTATGATAAAATCCATCATACACATGAAAGTGATAAGTATTGTTTCCTGTTATTTAAAAGCATTTTAAAATGCACAGCAATTTGGTCCTTTATGCATATTTTAAAATACGTAAATCTGTATTCGAGAATCGTTAATAATAGGTGGCCGATTAACTTTTTTAAATTGTTGGTTTTATTATGCACCGATAATCTAAAAAAAGGTTTGATTGTGAATTTTTTATTTTTACTGTATAATGTAACAACCGATAAAATAAAGACAAGCTATCACTTTATGGGATAATTCCGCTATTGTAGATACTAATTATATTTTATTTTATGCCACTTAGAATGGCAAACACGCCGAGGGTCCACCCGATGGAAAGTGGTAACCGTCGCCTATAGACATGAACAGTACCATGAACATAACAGAGTATACTGTTTCGCTCATGATACCCTCCATTCGTTGCCATTCTAAGGACTCAGGTGTTATTCCTATTAGTAAAATGTACTAATGAAAATAATAACAATATTCCTCAAGGAGACTTCTTTCTGTCAACCTTTCAATGCCAGAAAGGAAAAAAATCTATAATCGACAGCTGTTAACAAAATTTCTAACTACCCCAGGAAATAGATATAGTCGTTAAGTCTAATAGCGTCATCATTAATATTATAAATTATTGTTACCAGGAAGAAATAGATAAAAGTTCGTTTTGGCGCGGGACACCTTTTTGTTGTTAAATCAAAACAACTGGTTTTGCCACAATTGAAGTCGGTTTTTTTTGTGAATCACAATCTTATTTACGATGTTACAAAAAAGTTCTATAATGCAGCTGCATTAAGTAGTGTGTTAATTATATTAAGAGTGTTCGTAACTTCAGTATACTGAAGTGTGGCAACGTCGCAATTATCAGTTAATGTTTAAAAACATTTTAAAACAATTATCAATATTTTTAAGTGATTATTTTAAATAAATGCCAGTAAACTAAAATATTGATTGTGCAATAATATTTTCATTAATCTTTCATTGCAAATATTGATTTTGCTGGTCAAAATTCCAAAGCGACATGTGAAATAAGTGCAAACTTTTAGTGAGAGATTTTTTTTATTATTTAATTTTAATTCACTTTTATTATTTATTTTTAATTACCCAAAATAGGGTTGGGGTCAGGCAGGCGGCCGGTCGTAAAACTAAAAGCCAAATCTTTTTGTAGTATGGATAAAAACATATTACGCCGACCCCAAATAATAATTGGGATAAGGGTAGGAAGATGATGATGATGATTTTTAATTCATCGACTCAATGCACGATGAGCTATGAGAATTGTCGATGACCCCGGGCTTACAAGTGGTATCGAACCCAATATTTGGAGATATTTTGGCTCTCTCTGCGTGTTCTAACGCTTGTACAACAAACTGTGTTCAGAGGAATTGTTCAGTATGATGCCCGTGGCTACATTCTACCATTGTACCAACCATCGAGAGGAACTTAACCCCTATACCTTAGAGCTTGGACGGTTGCATGCAGCGCGGTGTCAGAGATGTTTCCTCTCACGAATGCTCAGGTTATGGAATGAGCTACCTATTGAGGTTTGTCCAAGAGACTACAGCATTGGATTCTTCAAAAAACGGTTTCTAGATAAAGTGGTTTCTTCAGGATCGGCAAGGCGCGCCACTTATATATAAAAAATACTTTTTTTGGAATTTTGCTTCTGGTTTTTAGCCACAAAAGAATGTGAGTGTTTTGCTCTTTTGAGGGTAATGCAATAAGCTGAGTTGTGACCATTTTGTATTATATAAATAATATTATATAAAAATTATCGAAATTATTTTTTTCGCTTCTATTTCCTTCATATAAACGCCTCACATAAATATTTCTTGAATATCTTTCACATACAGATATCGTCTAGTTACAATTTTATTATATTGGTAACATATAAACAATAATCTTCAACAATACGTAATTTTATGATTCACATCATTTTATCTCACAGTAAAATTTAAGACAATGTTTCTTTTTTCATCTCAGATACATATATATAATATAGATGGTAGAAACCGTAGACTTAGCATAATATACTACGTACTTACACATTAGCTTCAACCAGTTCTTAATTAGTTGCTTACAGATTTACTGTTGTGAAAGTTTGAAACTACTATCTCATAATAGTAATAGGAGGTAAACTTGAGGTAAATTTATACAGCTATATACACTAGTATTACAAATTTTCTTATTATAAATAAATTAGATTAAATACCTGAAAATATTTTACTGAACTAGGTTTTATTTTGCGGAAGTCTATATCACTAGTTAGTTTATTAAAATTATTTTGTTTAACTTCGCTTCCGTTAGTAAATGTATATATTTCATATGTATTAGTATATCTATATATATTAAAAGTAATGTTTATGTATTATATCTGCATTTCTTATATATTGTTTATGATTGCTTTAATGTGTTAGTATAATTGTCACATATTTTTCACTACAACTGCAATTCATACGCTTTCTGTTTTACCTAATGGTTAACTGGTAGAGAATGCCATATGGCATTAAGCTCGCGATTTGTACAAAGATTTATTGTGCAATAAAGAATAAATAAATAAATAAACATTTGGTCTACTGTAATAAATGCAATAAATGCAGTGTTATAATATTTGTAGGAAAATGATTAACGCGTTAGGTACTCAATAGTTAAATGCTACATATAATGTATGCATCGAGGCTAACAATTATTGTCTAGTACAAGTTAAAGCTTAATGGAAAATTACAATTAGTCATCAAATGATTTAGATTTAGGTATTAGCAACAGAATATTTTTTTTATTAATGGATGAAATTTTTATTTTTTTATATTTACTGGGTACAGAGGAATAACACATGAGTCCTCAGAAATGGCAACGCACTTTATCATAGGCGAAACAATATACTTTGTTATGTCCATGGTACTGCTCATGTCTATAGGCGACGGTTACCATTTTCCATCAGGTGGACCGTCAGCTTGTTTGCCATTCTAAGTTGTTTAAAAAAAATGAAAAATGGAATGGTCCTATTATATGGTAATAACCTTGTCTATACTAACGGTATACGCTGGTGGAGTACCAGAGAGGGATGGATGAAATGACGTGATTATTATTATATCAGATGTTAACTGGCCACTGCTGAATTATGTAATAATTCAGCCAGGTAAATTACTATTTACTAGGTACTCCTAGATGCATGATTTCTATTGCACCACGTCGTGATCAGGGTAGGACTAAAGTGAAAAAATAGTGATGCGACCTAACTCGAAACGTTCGCAACAAAAATCAGGTATATAGGTAATGTTTACCTGCAATCGCGTCGCGTTTAGTCCTGATTGTAAATTTAAAATACGTGTAAACAACGCGAAAGTTTAAAATTAATAATTAATTTGTAATTATTGTTTCGTTTCTTTGTGTGTCTTTATAGATTTTGTTGTTACTGTTCTTGTTGTTGTTGTTTTGTTTGTTGTTATTTATGTTTATCTTTATTATGTATACATTATCAACCTTCTTTAAAAGAAAATGTGTCACAATTAAGTTTTTTTTACGTTTGTTAACTAATTGTATTATTACGTAACTCTGTCAGTTATAAATGGTTTTGGGAAATTATTTTTTTATTTAAAGAATATATATTTTTTGATTGTTTCTGTAAAAAAAATTATCAAAATCGGTGTAATAGTTTTTAAATCATAAAAACTGGTTTTACCACAATTGAAGTCGGTTTTTTATTTTTGTGGAACACAATCTTAAATTATTTTGATAAACTTTCTATGGGACCAATCTAAAACTTATAACCATTCAGATAAAAAAATAATTTTCCAAATCGGTTCCATTTTCTAAAACTGATGGAGTTATTAGGTAACAAACTTAAAAAAAATACAACTCAATTGAAAACTTCCATCTTTTTGAAGTTGGTTGATAAATTAAAGAAATTCTCATCATCATCATTGATAAATAAATATGTATTAAATTGCGCTGCTTATGCCTCGGTATATCTACTAACTGATCATTCTAATCTACCTATTACCTTTTATAAATCCATGGAATGACATGCATTGCAAATCCAGGTGTTTATTCAAGTTTTATCGTCTATGCTTGACGTTCGAACAGCTGAGTTATATGAATAATATGGTTTTAGCACGATATCGCATTGCACAGTAAATAAAACGTTATATAAATTTCTAAACTGAAAGTTCTGCAATATTCATACTTTAAATCATTTATCTAAATAAATCATATTAGTAATGTAAGAGGCACAAAATGATTTAACTAATGCATGCAAATAATGGTTTTATTATGTTTAATTTTTAAAATCAACATTATGCAATATAAAAATATTACTTGCAAGACTACGAAGCAGTTTTAAGTACTTCTAGCTTTCCTCGACCTTAAACACTTTAATGACTTTTTAATTTCTTAGAATACATAATTACTTACTGTAATCCTTGTTTTCTAAGAAAATTCATAGCCATTTCGTGAAAAATGTATGTCGTGACTTTATTGATATAGATTTGAGGACACGCTTGGAACCGCTTTGGTTCGACCTTGTGTTTCAAGGTCTGAAGTTTATGGGGCGTTCAACTTATCCCTTTCCACATAGATATTAATTTTAATTATATATTATAGTGTAACAAAAAGAAAAATTATTACAAATATTTTTATTCACGACAGATTTTTACATTATAAAGGTAAATATTGTTTTCTTCTTAATATTTATTCTCGTAACATGGCAATAACTTCCCATAAATAAATTATACATCTTAAGTCTATAAATAAACTATACAAAAATAACGTTACGAGGTCTCACAGCGTTAGTTCTTTTTGGGTACATGGTTATGACGTTAAAACTAAAAGTAAATGTAAAGTCAATAAACTGGATATAATTCTTTTCATTACAACCGATTCAGTTCCAGAATCTTCATCTTTTTCTTTACAGCATTTCGTTCCAATTTCAACAACTTTAGGATAAAAGTCTGTCCAGAACTCGAATGCTTTATAATTTACTGTCTCTGGTGTGCTCATTGTGAAGTTCTTACGATCAATAATCAGATATCCCGGTTTTTCTATTTCAAAAGGCTCCCACATTATATTAACTCCAGAGTTAGTTGGATTAGAATACCACGCAAAATTAGACCACATTTTCATTATAACGTCAGAAATACTCTTATCCCTGATATCCCATTTAGCAAAATCTTCAGGTAAAGCTAAATGGGGCAAGCCAAAAGTGAATGTTAAATCAAAATTATGAGGTACTGCTATCCATTCTGGTATACCTTCGTTAGCTATATCCGAAAAAGGTTTCAAATCAAACCTATATAGATACACAGGTGAATGCTTACTAAGAAATTGTGCTAGTTGATAAGTAGTAGCTCCGTGTACTTTGTCAGTGTAAAACTCCAAAAAGAGTTTTCGCAAAACAGTTTCATTTGTAGTAGGTGGTATAGGCTTGTAAAAAAATGCTACTGCATCCTGTATATGGTGTTGGTTTGTGAAACAAGAACTATTATCTATTGTTATATCTGATAATATTATTTCTTCACGCATTACCTCAAATTCTCTAGGGCTTAAACCATCATTTTTATCATCCTCTTTGTGAAGGCGGAGAGCATCTTCCATATTGGTGTAACCAGTTAGAACTGGTATTGGCGTAAAAATATCACTTTTGAACATTTTGCTCGGTAAATCAGGTAAAAACGGTACATACATCGAACTATTACTAAAAGAACCATCTACAATAGGGCCCCATTCAGCCAATGGTCCACCAACATCTAATAGAGCCTGATAATTTGCTCTTCTTAGACAATCTAATAATTGAATTGTTGGTTTTCGATAGCACCCGAAAGCACTAGCTACTTTGTCTACTGTGAGAAGTTCTTTGCTAACTGTGTTGACTGTATTTGGTGACAGTACATTACCACTCATGGCTATAGCCTTTTGGAAGAGTCCGGAAGAATGAGAAGATATTAAATGAAGACCAACGCTTACTGCACCAGCTTCATGACCGAAGATACATATATTTTCAGGGTCACCACCAAAACTTTCTATATTATTCTTGACCCAAGTTAAAGCTGCTACTTGATCGAGCAATCCATAATTTCCAGGAGATTCATTATCTAATGATGAGAAAAATCCAAAAATGTTCAATCGATATGCAGCAGAAACGAAAATGACCTGAAAACGTATGAAAATTAAATTTTGAATCAAGGATTTTCAATGTTCTGGTGCACATTATATTTATTTATGGTTTTTTAATAAACAAACATGTAACTATGAACAATTAAAAGTAATTTGTTCTAGTATTTAAGACAGAGAATGTCGGGATCTTTTTTGCCTATCAGGATACAATAATATTTATTACCAAATTAAGTACTTACAAAACCATTAATATAAATTAAGGTTAAACTATATTTAAAACGGGTTTAATTAAATTTATGAGTATATTATACCACTTATTCTACAAAAAATTTAATAATTAAATATTTAAACAGACTCCAATAATGATTTAGTGTCTTTATAAGATTCAAAAAATTTTGCTGAAAATATTTGTATCTGTAATAATTAAGTAATAAAACATAATTACAAATAATAATCAGTTATGTATTCGTATACTAATATTATAATATTAATATAATAGTACCTTATGCTTCAACACAAGATGGAACGGATTTACATTATTGGGGCTGCCTCGGACAAAGTTCCCACCGTGAAACCACACCATTGTCGGATAGCCTTCCACTTTGAAATCTGTAACAAGCAGAAAACAAGGATATTGTTAGAATACCTAAGTTTGCTTTCGATATCATGTTGTTAATTGTTTGTACAAACTACTGCTTGTATGAGATGAAAGTGAACCCCTTATTTATATGTAAAACTATGAATTTACTCTCATATCATCTACATTAGAATAATGTCAAAATTTCATGATTTAAACATTCAAAAACTAAAACGAAAATAAAAAAAGATATTTGACATACTAATTGAATAACTGGACACATATCCATGAATGGGGATACCATAAGGCACATTTATTATACAGTATATGAGAGAAATTATATTATAAGTTTAAATGGAAAAATAAAAATGCTATATTATTGTGTAAATGATATATTATTAAGAATATGTTTGGAAAACAAGGTAAACAATATATAAATTAGAGGTATTACTATCATTTATTGTAAAATATTATATATTATATATAGATATAGGTAGATAATATTGTCATTCCAATAACTCAGGTGAGTAATGTAAAATTTAATCATTTAACAATGTGATTCTTACAACAGGAAAAAAATAAAGTGACGTAAATAAAGAATGCAATTTGAAAAATCTGCACTTTTAGGTATACAGACGGAATACAGGATAAATCAATGTTTCTGATGATTTCGAATAAAGGTGGATTTAAACTATTAAAACAAAAGAGCATAGAATCATCTAGCGTAACATTAACAGAAACAATATATTAAATTTAACATATAAATAACCGGTTCTCATCAGTATTAATAAGTTACCTGTTAATTAAAAATATTCATATTTTTTTATTCTTTAATTTGATTTTATTTTTACTCGTAAAAATTAAATGTTTCATCATCATCTCTATCAAGACTACTGCATGGGGTTCTTCAAAAGGGGGTAAAGAGGTTTCTGTATGGTTGGCAACGCACGCATAATACCCCTGGTATTGCAGGCGTTTATAGGCTACGGTAACCACTTACCATCAGGTGGGCCGTATATTTGATTGTCACCTCAGTGGTATAAAAAAACCTTTATCATTATTATGATATCAATGCCACTCGATCAATTTTAGTAATCTCTCTACAAATATTGTAAGCACACGTATAATATAGGCTACACCTTTAAACGGTTTATTATACATTTAAATTTAGCCACGTTTATAAATGATAAACGAACTTAATTTAAATTAAAACCGTTTATAAAAAAATATTAATAAAAATAAAAATTAAAACAGAAACGTCTTTCATAATTACATTGCAGCAATTGATAAAATTCATATTTAATAACAGCAAGCAAGTCATCTCTTCGAATATTGTAAAGAGAAAAGATTTGTTTATTTATTTATTTGTAATGGACTTAAAACTGGTTAACTGACTGTAACTGATGAAATTCTTGCACATATAGAAAGCTGCATTATCAGCAACCTACACTATTTATTTTGAATAATTTTAAATTCAATAATACCAGAGTGAGACTTTGTACAAAAGTTGTTTGCTTTGGCACCTTTGTCGCTTTCGTGTTTCTACCGTGAAGAAGTTGTTTGCATAGCTGTGTTTCGGTTTAAAGGATGAGATATGGCAGTGAATGAACAGGTTACAGAGGTTAATCCTCTGAGTCCTCAGGAATGCTAATGCATGGGTGGTATCAAGGGCGAAACTGAGGACTGAGGACTCAGATATTATTCCTCTGTACCCTGTAAATTCACGCCATATCCCACCCTTCAAACCGAAACACAGCCATGTAAACACAACTGCTTCACGGTAGAAACACGAATAGGACAGAGGTACCCAAGCAATTTTTTAAATAACAATATATCTTTTTTTTAATACTAAAGCATTAAGTTTGAAAAAAAATATGAATACAAAGTAATATAATTTATAAATTTTCATGTAATAAAAAAATGTATTACAAAGTATTGAATGTACTATAATATATTGTTTATCCTCAAAAGAATATCTTGCCAATTTCTACAGCTATTTGTTAAAAGTTCAGATTAATCCTTAATTACTTCTCTGGACACAAAGCTTTCGCCTGAGAAAGAATAAGATATAAGATCTCACCATCTCATTTTATTTCGTGGATCTACTAGCGATAACGATTCTATCGATAGATTCATATCTCACTTGTCTAAGAAAGTATTCTTTAGCTGTAAGTGTTCCCATATGTATGATTTGTACTTTTAGTGTGAAATTTTTTTAAGGTCAATAAATATTGTCCATTACTGCAAATTTCTTTATTACTATAAAATAAAATAAAGCTATTTGACAAGAGCTAATTTTTATTAAAGTAAGTAGTACTTATTTGCCATGAAATCATTCGAATTGCGAGTAAAATCCAGCACTGTTAATATCTAGGTCACCGCAAAGATTAGGGTTAAGTCGATTGCTCGAAGTGTAGCAACGTCACGGAATTCTTGCATTAATGACTGGAAATTCACCCTGGGTATGTGCATATTATGAATCATTGGTAGGTGTGAATCGGTGGAACTTAGGTCACCTGATTTCTTAGCTTATTATTGTTTTTATGTGTTTTTTGAGTTAGGAGTAACTAATTATTTTTTTGTTTTTAACATTATCACAACAACCTATCAACGGTCTACGGCTGGGGATGGGAATTTTGAATAATTAAGTTCTTACCATATCAATCAATCATTCAAATCAATAAAAATAAAATTATTTATTTTTATTTATTTAATCATTCGTACATATATGCACAAGGCAAACTCAATGCCAAAAGCATTATCTCCTAGTCAACCTTAGGGAAGTGTCCGAATACTCGAATGCGGTACTAATAATAATTGATAATTGATATACATATATACTACAATTTACATATATAAATAAATAAATATATCATCATCATTTCAGCCATTATCCGTCCACTGCTGGACATGGGGAGGCTTATGTCCGTATACATAAACCTCCCCATGTCCAGCATGCTGCTAGACTATGCTAGACTGCCATAATAAATATATATGTATATAAATAACAAATATAGTTATACATATATAAGGTATACTTTATTATACACAAAGATAAGAATAGCAGATATAATACTTCTATTATTATTATTAATAGGGACAGCTGCTTAGTATGGAAATTTTGATTGACTTATTTATATTTCTTCTTAAATTGATTAACAACATCAAAACATTTATGTTAGAATACTTGTTCTCAAGTATGAGGAACGCATATACATCATTGTATTAAATCATGTTATAAAACTTTGTCCAGTAACTCAATCTATCACAAAGCTACCGAGCTTGAAGTAACCATGAATATAGAATTTTATTTTCAAACAACTTAAAAGAAGTGATTCTTAAGTCGAGTGAAATTTTGTGTTATATTAAGCAATTCTTTCGCCAAATATACTCATTTTCATGTTTGAATGCTTATTCATCTTTCTATAATAATAAAGACTTCAGGCGGTTTCATAATTTAAGGATTATAACAAAAGAAGGCCGTGTGGTCCCGGCATAGAATGAGCCACTCCTTCCTTTCCCGTGGGTGTCGTAAAAGGAGACTAAAGAAAGACGAGGGATGGGAAGCAGCGTCCCTCTTAAAACATCTACAAAGCCTAACTGCGGTGCCTAATCCGCCTGGCAAGCGTGGCAGCTACTTGCCTAACCCCTCAAGGGGGAGGCTTATGTTCAGCAGTGGACAGTTAAAGGCTGACATAATGATGACGATAAATTAAAAAAAAAAATGATTTATCTAATCCCACTATAGGTGTTAATCAAGCTATTATGTCTTGTTATTTATATTGAAAGAAATAAAAGTAGTTACGCATTCAATGGACTTATGGAGTCCCAAATAAAAGATAACTAAAATATATTTTTATGTGTATACAAACTCGAATTTAAGTATAATTTAGTTCAGCAGATAAAAATAAATTAAGAAGATTAAATGCCTAAATGAAATGCCTTTACTCCTAGAGAGAAACTAAAATTAAACCAGACCAAAATTACTAGGGTTTAAATGTGCATAGAAATATTTAAAAAATTAAGTTGAAATGAAATGGGTGATTACATTTTATCAAAATATCGATGAACCCAATATATAGAAATTGGATTGGATTTTATTCGTGTTTAAGTTTATCCTAAATAATATACAGATATATCTAAATATATACTTATGATATGCGAACTTAACACTATAATGGCTAAAAAAAAACTCAAGATTGCATCTGACGATAAGTTAGATGCAATCTTGAGTTTTTTTTTAATGGATGATAATGGAATGGTAACCCCACCCGCGCTATCGGTATACGCCGGCGGGGCACCAATGAAGGATGATAGATGAGGATGAAGTACGTCAGTTAGCCTTTCGTGACGAATTTAACAAGAATTGTTCACGATGGTTTCCAGGGGGAACCACGTGGAGGTCGACCTAATAAGGCATATTGCTAGCAATGGGGCTGTCAAACCCCATTGCTAACAATCCCTTTCCCCCCGATGCAATCTTGAGTTGGACCTATGGCTCATACAGATAAATATTATAATCTTTCCATCAGGTGGCTATAAAATCAATGTGCCGTGATAGTAAAGAAAAAAAAATAGATAGGAATAATAGTAAATATAATTGATGGTGCAACGTAATGAGCAAATAAATAATGAGAGAAAAAAAAATAAAATAAGGGTATGTACATATCGTGTAAACACATATGTAGCACAACATGTTTTATTTGAAACATTCAAGTAAAACAGCACATAGCTATGACTAGTAAACATTGTTTAAAAAAATCTATTATTCTTTATATTTTCAATTTCAACATTTCTTAATAGTCATTAATCGTAGACGGCGAATCGTTAAGAAAAAAATATGCCAGAGTAATTAAAGTAGATGGAATTGCGAGCCCCAATGAACGAATGGTTTAAATCGTTCATTAGGAATTTACATACTTATCCAGGTCATTGCCGGGAGGATAATTAGAATTTCGGGTCACACACTCATTTTGACCTTTTACGTACATACCAATCAACTAATATTACCGCTTTAATAATATATTAACAA